GTACTTTCAAGATCAAATCAAACAGGCAGAGTTGAATTGCTCAGTCAAAGATTCTTCTGCAGTCATTTCTGAAAGTTCTCCGTCTAAAGGTGCACTTCTTATGAACTCTCATTTTAAATTGGTTTTATATTTTACTTACATAGACTTGCACATTACTGCTTTTGAAAATATAATATTTGATCTTTTTCATTTTACATAGCGCGTGGAAATGAAGGTGAAATAAATTTTGAATCCAGCAAGCTTTGCGAAATTCCTAATTCTAGACTTCCTCTTCTGACAATGCCTAAAGGGAAATATTTCAAAAATGAAAAAGTTGAAAACGAATCTACAGATGAAGAAGTTGATGGAATGTCAAATTCAATGACTTCTTCTGCATCAGATCAGTGGCTTTGGAAAGATAAACAATGCCAATGGAACCCGTATCCGAGAGAAATTAACGACAAAATAAACAGATGTTATAAACGAAATCCTAATTCTACTGTTATTGTTACAATCAAAGACAACACGTAAGTGAAAAGTTCGGTGAAAACAAAACAAATAAAAAACTATTGATTGCGACTTTCAAATATACACTTTAAAATTTTCTAAGACAAACGAAAACAATGTTTTATTTCAGATACAGAGTAGTCTTGGCAAAAGGTATACAGATAAATTTGACTACAAGAGAGGAGTCAGAAGTGAAATTTGTTAAAAACTAGTAAATAAACTAGATGTGTTTGTGAAACACTATGCCCCCGATGGTAACGCAAATCTGGAGTAAGACGTTGACTAATATGGTATACTCTTATTACCCTTGACAGCGCAATAGTTATGAGCTATGTTCAAGTTGACAACAGACAGACAGACAAACAGACAGACAGGACAAAAACAATATACCCCCAGGATCTTTCGATCCCGGGGCTTGAAAAATCGTTTATCGTTTGTAGGGGTGTGTTCTCATGCGTGTGGAATTTAAAATGATTGAATGTAAAGTTATTATCCACTATTGCAAGAATTAAGAAATCACAAGTCGGTATTCTCTGTCTTATCTTTATATTAATATTGTTGAGTAATATTTTTTACCATCAATGCATAAAGACTTATATCCAATTCAATCGAAATGTCACTAATACGCAAGTTTTGAGATTATCTCCCTTGGTGCGCTCTTTCGTTGAGGAGGGGAGTTTCGTTGCCGCGTAAACAAACAGGTGGGACAGATATTTGATACTGTGTATGTTGGATACATTGCATCATCAATATACCGGTTTATCATAACTACACAATTGTCAGGATACACTCTAAAACTTGAGAATAACCGAATTAAAGTAAAGGCATTATTTTTTAAAGCAAAAAATCGAAACAGAAAAGAAAATATCAGTGAATGTGAGACTTTTCGGACTAGGAAGAGATAGGCCTATGGACCTCTAATAAATACGGTACACATGTATCTGATCATTGCACGTCGGGGATCTAAATGACATTTTTATTCTTTTCTTATTATAACTGAAAAAACACTAACTTATTAGAAAATGTTCGTACAGTCAAGAAAATCGGTTACTTTTTATAAAGACTAGACGTTTCTTTCGTTTTCAAGTACCCGAAAATTGAAAGTAGATTTGTAAATATGCATAGTTGAGCTTGATAAAATCATCAAATGCATCACCGCTTAACATTATTATCTCTCTATAACATTTGATAAATTTTAAAAGCCATAAATATCATTCTTTTATTTATGCACGTATGTATACAAAGACAACCTGTCCCACCTCCATGCTGAAATGGGTACTTTTTGCGCCTCTATCGTAGGAGAGTTACAGTCTCGAAACTTGTGTATTAAACAAACTTATGAATACCTTTAACAAGCTTCATATTAAAAATTAGTACAGATTTTATAAAATATTCATAGAAACATATTCTTGGAAACATTTTGAATGTGATTTTTGTCTGCATCCCATTTTGTTTGAAAGAAGATAAAGTTCCAAATTAGAATATACAAAATATCTGAAGAAATCCTTCTAAATGTCAATAGAAAGTAAATTATCTATTTCTTAAAATTTATTGAAGAAATTGTGTGAATCAAATATATATTTTACACCAAATCTTTTGAAAATTAAGAACTTTTACATGATAAAAGTATCAAACATCCTACTTTTTCTCTTTACAATCAATCGGATGATAAATTATAAAACAGCCTTTTCGACAACATGGGGAACTGCTTCTTTGATTTACAACTATATGGAACTAGTTGATTTTCTAATATTTAAAATTATTAAAATCACTCTGTTTATTTTTTTTCTAATCTGCATATATGTACTCTAAAGTTGATAAAGTTGATAATAAAATCTAAGAATCTGATCCCATCCCTGACTATCAGTGCGCCATATATTTCTCCTGTCCACGATTCGTTTTGCGTACTTTAATCAGCATTCATGCAGTGTCTTATTCTTTAAATAACATAATATTAAAATAAATGTAATGTATTTTCGTTTATATGACAACGATGAAAGTGTTGAATTAACGAATAAACGAACATAAAAGGAAGAAAAAAGAATTTTTAAACTATAACTTGATTTCCTTTGTAAAATAATGCAAATCTTTTTACGCTATTCTTTTTAGACAATGATTCATTTTATCTTCTTTTATATCATTCTATATCGATCTTCGACCCGAAAATGTACTTCAGGATCTTTGACCTCACCTTCGATAATTCTTCGAATGAATTGAGCCAGATTGACCTGGGTAGGAGAAATTGTGCTCACTTCAAGGATTTTACATTAAAATTTGTTGTGAATTTGACCTTATGCTTACTTAGAATGAGTGCACTTTAGTACGTCATTTGGAACCTTTTCGGCTACCCATTTTAACCTTTACATTACAATTTATCGCTAAATTAATCTATGATTATTGTGCAAGCATATGCTTTTGATATTTATGCTTTGAATTTTTTGTCATACATATTTCTATATATAATTACAGACAATGCCATTGAAAAGAACGTGTATTAGCCTTAAATTCCGCAAATTTGAACGGTACCACTATCGATTTTAAGGTAACCGCAAATAGGCGGAGACATTTAAATAGCATGGATGGAACGTAAACAATAGCACAAATGACTGTTTGGTAATCAGATGCTACACTACGAATTTAAATGGCAAAGAGAGAGATTGTGTAGTTTCATGGTGCACAAATAATAAATGATTCTAGTGTTTAGGGATGGGATAGATGTTTCGCCCCGCAGACCATAATAAAGAGGCGACATGAGCCTATATTTACTAATCTCACTACTAATACCAGAATTCTTTTAAAACACACCAAATGAAAAACCCAGAGTAAAATAAGAGACATATAATCTTCGAACCTTATTAATATTTTCGCAAAAATCTTCCATAGTTTGAAGTTCGAGGTACGTACGATAGATACTGTCCGAAAAGTAACTTCTAATGACAAACACAATGAAATGTTCAATGAAAGCGTTGTTGTATCGAACCGTGGAATGTCATTATAATTATAATAATAATAATAATAATAATAATAATAATAATAATAATAATACTTTATTTAAAGAAGGTAACCTGATTAGTGCAACCACTATTCTTCCCCAGGGCCTTCTGACAATTAACAATATAAAGATACTTATTACACACTTAGTAATAAATACAGGTTTTTTGCATATGCGATATGGCTGACGTCACAATAGCCGTATCAGCCCTGCAGGGCTGATATGGATTTGCAGGGCTGATAACCTATATCAGCCCCGCAAATCCATATCAGCCCTGCAGGGATGATACGGCTATTGTGACGTCAAAATCACACACTCAGTAAATTAAACCACAAAAACAGTACTTGTGATCATACACAATTTTTGGTAGGTTCATATTCTCTTAATTTTAACTTTTTGAAAATAAGGTTATCTTAATTTACAAATACATGTAATAGATTATTTTCAAATTACGGATCGAGTGCATTGAAATAGAAGTAGAAACAAACCCAAATCGTATGAGCGATAGACCATATACATGTATGTAAGAAGTCCATGCATAATTATTTACTTATTTTCTTCTCAACCTAATGTATGCTGTATTTTATTACTAAGTATGTAATAAACATATTAATACATACCCTTTTCCATATCACATCCTGTATCAGCCCGAGACACCAATATCAGCCCTCGGGCCTTCGGCCCTCTGGCTGATATTGGTGTCTCGGGCTGATACAGGATGTGATATGGAAAAGGGTATGCATTATTCTCTATATATACAGAAATTTTAAATATATATATAAATATATAAATACAAATAAACATGAATCACAAATTAAACTGACATTGTTTTACATATTGTTTTACTTGTCTCTTGAAAGTATTAAGAGTTGGTGACATTTTTATGTGCACCGGTAAAGTATTCCATAAAATGGCATTAGAGTACTGGAAGGAATTTTCAAAAAAGTTTACATTTATGAATTGGCGCACACAAATCAACATTGGATTCAGATCGAAGAGTATATTGGTTATTAATTTGAAACTGAAACACTTCATGTAAATACGTAGGACAATAATTAAAAAGGGGTTTATTCAACAACATATTTATTTACAGTAAGCTGTTCATAAACAGTAAGCCAATCAAGTTCATCAAAAAGGGGTCGTGAGGGTGCGTCAGGGGGGGGGGCATCTAAAATATACCATATTGCAGCACATTTTTGAAGTTTATGAACTCTGTCAAGATTTGATCTGGATGTATTTCCCCAAATTGTTAGGCAGTAATCAATGGTAGGCATGATGTATGCATTATAAAACAACTTGCGTGTTTGAAGGGAAAGATATCTTTTTTAATTTTACGGAGTGCAGAAATTTTACGTGACAGAGTTTGACACACATGGTCGATATGTACATTGTATTGTAAAGAATTATCTAGATATACCCCAAGAATTTTTTCATATGTTACATTGTCTAATTTCTGGTTTGAAACGTATAAAGGAAAGTCGTGGTCTAAGAATTTTGATCTCTGCTGATGTGTCCCTATTAACATGCATTTAGTTTTTGAGGCATTAAGTATCATTTGATTTTGATTGCACCATTTTTCTATACAAGCAATATCCATTGATAATAAATTTACTATAAATTGGGGATCTTTGCCGGGGATATGTAAAGTCATGTGAGTAAAGTGATTATAATATCAATCGTTGACAATCGGGGACCTTTAGTTTGGGATCTTTTTTCAAAAATTATATATGAGCTGCAACTTGGCCAACATTGTCCTTTGTATATGTATAAGTTTAAATGAAAATACACTTTCTATGCTAATGAGACCAATGGCCAAATTTTTTGGAAATTGTGACAAAAGCTAGTGTCGCTTGGCATTATTCAGTACTTTCATGTAATATAATATAATATAATATAATATAATATAATATAATATAATATAATATAATATAATATAATATAATATAATATAATAATGTAACCAAAACCTGCTCTTAAGACTTTGTTTAATACCTGTATAACTTAAATTTAATGAAATGCGGGATTTTATTTTGCGCAAAACACCGGGACCCAACTCTCATAGCTTAAGTCCACTCATCCTTTGGTCATAGGTTTCTGTTTACATTTTATTCTGCAATATTCTGTATTGGTAATGTATATTCTTGACATCGAGATAGAGGCACGTACAGACAAATCGGCAGACTGGTCACTAGAGGGCTCAGCTAGGGTATATATAGGTAAGTACTGTCGGCAAATACTTGTAACAGCCGTGAACAGCCGTGAACATATAGAACCGAAACCTTTCTT